CAATCCTCCTCCGGCAGTGGGCATACCTGGAATAATACAACCTCGCCAAGAAAAAGGTACTATAATGTATTACACATACAGATGAACGGAATTACAAAATTTTGTAACATATGGCAACTTTTGCATTGGTCCTTATATAAAAAAGTCCATGATGTCTAGTCAACTGATGGATGTGATAACACCCCAGGAGTATATTAATGAAGGATATTGTAATCATCCCTTTAATAACATAGTACCTCCACTGGTAGTTACTGAACCCTCTAGGGTCATACCATGCTAAGCCCACTATCCCGGTAAATATTTCAAGCTGGAGGATATGTATGTGGGGATTAGTACAACCAAATATGGAAACTAATTCAACAATTGCCTCAAGGGAAGATAGGGCTTACCTGTCTACCAGTAAATCAGTCTAAGATAGTATCCTTCACTAGTCCATATGGTACGGAGCTAGGCTGGAAGACCATAATACCAGATTTCTACTGGAACATTTCTTCATCTAAGTGCACTAACCTTAAAAATTATAAATTGGGAAAAAGATAATTAATTACTAGTAGTGCCATTGAATCCAATTTTACCTAATAAACCTTAATCTTAGGAAATTGTTCTTTTAAAGATCATGGGGCAAGAGTGTATTTAATATGACTCTTCTAGCCATTACTCACTGCCACCGAGTCCATGCCAACTCACAGTGACCCTGAAGGACAGGGAAGAACTACCCTTGTGAGTTTCCGAGACTGTAACTCTTTATGGGAGTGGAAAACCCTTCTTGTGGGGGGGGGCTGATCTATTTGAACTGCTCATCTTGCAGTTAGCAGCCCACCACATAACCACGATGCCACCAGGGCTCCCTAGTCTTTCGTTCTGTGAAGGATTACAAACCCTAGCCTCTTTCTGTGGCCATGAACCCATTTTGGAGTGCGTTGTCTGTGATGAGGCAGTGTGGTAGTTAAATAATCTGTTGTCGATTTGAGAGGATTAAGAGTGAAGGGGTGGAGTTTAGCCTGTCAATCAGGCGGTTGCTTGATGACCTCCTTTGGAGGCGCTAAGGAGATAAATAGTTCGCTGGAGGCAGGTTGCAGGCTCACTCCCTGGGAGACATTGCAGCTGACAAGACACATGGAATTAAGCTAGTGCCCTGAGCTGGAGACCCCTGCCAGCGCTGAGATGCTGACAATGCCACTGGATCCATAAAGACTTCCCACCCACTGGCCTGTGATCTTCCTGCACTTGGTGTCATTGTGTGTGTTTCATGAGTCTGAAGAGGTCTTTATAGCTTGGTATGACATATGGGCCAATGCTGGACTTACGGACTTGATCTGGGCTGGGACGTTTTCTCAATATTCAATTGCTCTTATATATAAAGCTCTTTCTTATACATATATGAGTGTCTATGAATTTGTTTCTCTAGTCACCCCAGACTAACACAGGCAGGATCAAGGTGGAATGTATCTTGAGGTTGTGACTTAAGTTACTACCCTTAACTTCCTTAGGGATATGGTCTGCATCCATAATATATGAACTCTTTTGAGATATGCAGTGTAACCACCATCTCTGATATGTGTTAATACCAGAACTGGCATCAGGTTTTGAGACAAATCACGGGCTTCCTACTTAAGATAAAGAAGAGCCTGGGGTCCCCAAACTGGCTGAGACCAGATCTGGTTCACCTATCATGTGCAGTAACCACCCAAATGTCTTCAAATTGAAAGTATAACATCACAAGGCTGAAAACACATCTCCATCAATGCCTAGAATGTGGGGAAAATGGCATCCTTGTGACCTACACCCCCATCCCCAACACCACTACCACCTTTCCCTCTGAGATTATGCAGAAGCCTTGTGCTGAATCATCTCAATAAACCAACCAGACATGAATTACTTAAGATCCTAGTAAAAGATCGCTGGTCCCAGAAGACAGGAAGTTATATTGGCAATATATGTTCTAGTGTGCCCATTTGCTTGGCCAACCAGATAAAAGCGCCTTCTCGTTTCCCTCAGCTGTAAATTGTGAACTGCTCTGCACCTGGAAGAGGTCTGGTGGCAGAGTGGATTACACATGGACTGCTAACCACAAGCTCGGCAGTTCCTATTCACCAGTCACTCTGTGTGAGAAAGATAAGACTGCCTGCTCCCCTAAAAATGTATAACCTTGGGAACCCAAAGGGGCATTTCCACCCATAGGACCACTCTGAGTGGACTCAATGACAGAATGGATTCAGAACGGACTCAATGACAGTGGGTCTTGTTTGCTTTGGCTCGACAACAGAGTTCTGAAATCTTCATTCAATCTGGTTGGCTACAAATTAAAAATATCAATCCCTTTCTCAAATTCAATAGAGTCCATTTTTCTTTGGGAATTGTGTTAGGAAGGGTTGACCAGAGACACCCATATATGGATAGGAAAGAGCTTTATATGGAAGAGTAATTGTATATTAAGAACATATCTTAGCCCAGTACAGATCAAATCTACAAATCTGATATTAGACCATATGTCCGATATTAGTCCACAAAATCCTCTTTGGACTCATGCAGCACATGCAATCATGCAGAACACAGGAAGATCACAGGCCAGTGGGTGCAAAGTCTTGTGGATCCAGTAGTGGTGGAAGCAAGAGAGGAAGTTCCCAAGATCCTCATGAGAAGGCCACGCCCACAAGGAGGCATCATTGTGACCTGATTGACAGGCTAGACTCCACCCCTAGAGCTATTTATCAAGTTGCTGAAATTATATGACTACCACAGGAATATCTTGGTCAAGCATTTCAGTAAGTCAACAAAGCAAAAACACATCTGTAGATAAGAAAATTGCATATAGCTATTGTAAGGTAGTCAAGAGATGCCAGAAACCAAATCAGTTAAATTAGAGCAAACAGGCTTTATTGGGGAATAAATCCCAGCCTGGGCGAAGTCCCAGGGTCCACAGTGTCCGGGCCGAGGGAGTCACACTCCAGACTACAGGAGTGGTGTTTATATAGCCGGGGAACATGTGACTGGGCTGCCTTGAGTCCACGTAAGGTAAAATAGTCAGGGATTGGGAGATACAGGTATATCCGGGTTTCTGGAATGTAAGGTGTCTTCCTGGTTCCAGGTGTATTAGGGTACAAAGCAGCAAGCCGAGAATAAAGTGGGCACTGAGCCAAATGGGCCATGCAGGGTGCAGAGCAGTGGGTCGAGAACAAAGTGGGCCACTAGCCAGCTCTGGTCAGCTCCACAGGTGTGTGTGGGAGATTCAAGGCCACTTGCTGCTAGTTGTTTCAGCTAGCTCTGGTCAGCTCTGCAAGGGTGGGGGAGATTCAAGGTCACTTGCTGCTATAAGCCGGCCCGGTATTGATCCAGCCATACAGCTATGGTTTATTTTTAGTATTTAATAGTTAAATTGGTATCCTAACTTCCTGTAAGGGTATTATCAGTCAAGTCCTCTGAGGGCAAAACTACCCCTCCCAAGGCTGCCTTGGGCAAGTGTAATCAACTTTTATACACAGTCTGCCTAAGGTCAAAACTTCTGCTACATTGTAGCTAATGGAAAGAAAATCTCAAATGGAAATTTAATTTATGTCAAGACACAAAATTAAGTCAAGTGCTCACTGTAAACCACAGCCTTCAGCAAATCTAGTTCTTGCTATTTAAACTCTAATATATTGCAATTCTGCATTAGGGACATGGAGATTCCCAAGACGCATGTTAGGTGAAAAATTCCTTTCGGTTTTGAACGTTTTGAAGTGCCCTGGAGAACCAACATTTGCTGAACTTTTTCTTTTCTGCAGTCCTCATTGTAAATTCCTTATGTTAGGCAGCAGAATAGGAATACAGGGTTGTCCCTCCCATGCCTGCACAAGGCCCTCTCCAGGAGGTTGGAAAGAGAAGTCAGGCAAGCCTAAGCCACCCATGAAGACTTTAACTGGGCATGCTCCTATTCAGGCCCCCCAGAGCCAGGTGGGCTTGATTCAGCCAATGGGGTCAACCACACCACGCCTCCCCAGCCTGACCCTCAAATATGTTCTGCCCTGCTGCCCTTGACCTGCTCCTGCACCTGCTTGGCTGTGCCATGGTCTCCGGCCTCAGGTCACGGCGTGTGGGCATGTAGTCCCACAAGGTTGCCTGTGTTCAGTTGTGGGCCCCAGCGTGGCTTTCACACATACATGGCACAATGCCCTGATATAACGTGTACTGTTTTGAGACTATAAAACCTGAAACTTCTGTGCTTTGTAAAAACCCACTTGGATCACAAGCCAATGAATTCTGCATGAATTCTTTCTCATGCGAAGCCAAGAACCGAGGTATTACCCAACTGAGGCACCTAACACAAATTTTAAATTCCATATACTTAGTAAAAATTCCAAGAGATTGATATTATACCAACATCTTACAAATACAAAAAAGAAGCGCAGAGATGATCAGGTAACTTTCCCAAGAGAAAAGATTCCAATGCCGGTAGCTCAGCTGCCACCTGACTTTTTGCATCTTTTCAAAGTTCCTTCTCACCCCTCCCCTCTTTTAATAAATCTCATTCGCAGGAGGAAAGCAGGGATGAGGGAGAGAGTTACACAGCAAGGGTTTGTTTGAAAGACCACTTGTCACTACCATAAATAAATTTTGTAAGGGGGGGGCGGGGAATAATGAACGAAGTCTTAAAGTTCAATAAGTACTCATTATGCTGACCTTCGATTCAAAGCTACCCGCCCCTCCGGGGAGAGCGGTGAGCCGGCGGCCCCGGGGAAGGCTGACGGCCGAGGAAATCCAGGTCTGGCGGCTGTGGCCCGGGTCCCAGGGCGCTGCCTGCCCTGGAGCCCGAGAACGGAAGGATCGCTCCAAACGCCCCGGGGCGTTTCGGCTGGAACACATTCTCAACATCACTTAGTGGAAAGAGAGGCAGAGCTAACGGAGAACGTCCCGGAACTGGCCCAGGTCCCGGCCGCACGCCCGCAGCCGGCCAGGAGGAAGTGGCCGCCGGCGCCAGCTCCGCCCCAGAGGTGACCGCACCCCACTCGGCTCCCGCGTCCTCGCAGCCGGTCCGCCGGAGCGCGAGCTCACTCCGCCAGGAAGCGGCCGGCGTCCCCGCGCAGGGAGCAGGTGAGGGCCGCTCGGGGCGCGCCTGGGAGCCGCGGGCCGGGCGGCGGGGTCGTTCCGGTGCCTCCCCCGCTTCCCGCCGGGCTTGCCCGTGGCGGTAGTTGGCCGGGTCCGGAAGCGCGGCTCCGCTCGACCCCGGGGCCGGCGGTTTCTCCGCGTCCTGGCGCGCGCGGGGGGCGCGGGGCGCGCGGGCGGGAGAGGAGGGGAGGGCGGGGCCCGGGGAAGCCCGGGAGTCGGGGAGAGTCTTAGGTGCCCTGGCGGGCCCCTCGGTGCCCTTTGGCCATTTCCTGACCTTCACAGTGGTGGGCTTTACCCTGCCGGAAACCGCCTTTTCTGGGCTCTGCTTCCGCTTGGTGAGCCCGGCCTTGGGAGCAGTTAAATCAGGCCCAGAAGCGGAGCTCAGGGTCCCTGGCAGTATACTGGAGTTGTTGGAGGGACAGTTAATAGAGCCACCTAGCTGCCCTTCAGTATCAACTGGTAGCCTGTCGGTGGTACTTGGCATACGCAGATAACACAACCTTGTTTGCTGGAAGGTTAAGTGAATTGAAAGCCCTTCATGAATTTCAAAAACTACAGCTTTCGCTATGATTTACACCTTAACCTCAAGACCAAAAAAAAAAAAACAACACCCACGTCAGAAGCAATGACCACCATCAGAGTAAACGGAGAGTGGATCGGACGTGTCCAGGACCTCGTCTTGCTTCCGTCCACTATGAATACCCCTGGCGGCGGCAGCAGTCAAGAAATCAAAGGACTGTTACTGCATGAGCCAAGTCTGCAGCAAAAGAACTATTTTAGTGTTAAAGAAAAAGCATGCTACTGCCAGAACCAAAGTACACCTGACCCAAGCCAGGGTACTTTCAATTACCTCATATTCCTGTTGAAAGCTGGCCAATGAATAATGAAGACCAAAGACGGCTTGACGCTTTTGCACTGTGGTGTTGGCAAATCATTTTGAATTCTCCATGGACTGCGGGAAGACAAAGAGGCCTCTTAGAAGTCCAGCCAGAATGTTTCGTAGGACGATGTAGAGGTTTTGCCTCACAGGAGAAAGCAGTCCCTGAAAAAGGACATTATACTTAGTGAAGTCGAGGGTAAGTGAAAGAGGTGGACCCTCAAGGAAATGGACTGAAAAGCCCCAGGGGCTGGCACTGTTTAAACGTGGCACAGGACTGGGCAGTGTTTCCTGCCGTTACACCTAGGTTGGTGTGAGTCAAATGAATACAGCACCAACAACAATACTTATTTGGAAATATATGCTACCTACTCCACACTTGAAACAGAGAGCGAAAGTAGCTGCTTAGTTCCATTCTGTGTCTGTCCCTTGGTACCTGGGAACTTTTAAGCCCGCTGCTTCATCTATGTGCTTAAATTAAAGCACTGTTTGGTACTGCTAAAAGTACTCAGCTATTGTTTAACATTGGACAGAGTCCTAGCTCACTGTCTGGTTTCCTGTGTTGTTTGATTTATAACCTGATTCCAGGGAATCTTGGCATGATCACTTCCCAATTCCAGGAACAGGTAGCCCTTGTTTGTCTTAAGAGTTGAGCAATTTGAAATATGTGCTTAGTACAAGTGGCACAAAAGTGTGGTTTTGACCTCTCTCTTCTTCTGTAAACTTTGCAAACAGAACTTTGTTTTATTGCTACCCTGGGGCTTAACATACTTTGAACAAACCAAAGGATATGAATGGATTTCTGTAGTGGATGGAGAAGTGGATAGTGAAATAGGTGGTGTTTAGTTGAAGCAGCCTTCAAAATTGGAAGGGAACTGTTCATATGACTAGGAGGAATTAAATGATACCTCCCACAAGTTGATTTAACGAGCATCAATGAAGCATCCCCTTCTGGACCAGTCTGGCCATGATCTGGCCTTTAAGAGCTTAGAGTGGAAGTGGAGAGGTGCTAGATGTTCGTGAATGACCCCTGTGAACTTTGCATCTTCATTTGGAGATCGATTCATATCTATCTCTCTCTCTCTCTCTCTCTCTCTCTCTCTCTCTCCTTTTTTTCTCTCTTCTCTCTCCCCTGTTCTGTAACCCCACTGACTTGTCAGTTCATTAAATGAGCCAACCCCTCTAGAGTCTCATGGTTCCCTCTGGCTATAAAGGCCTCTCCATCTCCTATGGAAACGTAGGGCCCTTGGTTGTTGTTACTATACTTTCTTAAGGTTTAGGTCAGAGCTCTTGTTCATGGCAGTGTTCCACCAGGTAAATGATTGCCCCTCCCCCTTACTTATGGTATCATTTTCTTTTTTTCATAGCACTTAGAGCATTTATAATGATATACTCTGTTAATTTTCTGTCTGCTGCATTTATTTGCTCATTGTAGCCTTAGTGCCTGGTACCATGTCTTGCATGCTATACCCCTTTAATCAATACTCTTTGGGAAAAAGACAAAACACAAACTGTGCAATAAGTATTTATGTATGCTTATTTTGATTTGTACTCTACCTTGAATGGTACTGAATCTTTCATCTAAAGCACTTTATATCAGTACATTGCGTTTTTCATTTTCCAAGTTGTGTTTTTAATAAGTGTTTTGTTTGTACTGCACTGGGCAAGAGTTTTTCATGTGGCCAACAGCATACATTTAATTTCAAGTCTTTTTTTTTAATCACGTAAAATAGATAAAGATCTTCCTTTAACAAATTTCGCTGAAAGCCTGCAATTTGAAAGAATGTCTTGTTATGAGCCAAAGGATAAACACTGATTCAGCTAGTTTAGCCACCTTGATTTAGGCTTGCTCTATAGACTTATATAGTCATTTAATATCTTGATTTCTTCCTTTATAAGGAGTACAGGACACAACACACAATTGAGAGGGTTGTCACAGAAGACTTAAAGAGTTATAAAGCAAATGAATGAAAGGAGAATAACCGATATAAAAGCTTACTGTTGCTTTTGTCCTTGATGGTGGTGGTTTTGTGAAAGGTGACCATCACTATCTCATTGGGTCCCAAGTAATGTATGAATACTCTTATTCAAGGTGTGCTCTCAGAAATTAGCTCAGAGAAGATTTTTTTTTCTTGAACTGGACATGCAGGAGGAACTAGTTAGAGGAGCCCTTACTGGTACTGTGTATTTGAATTTAGATTCAGCCTCAGTCACCACCCACCTCCTTCCCATATTTCACACATGTGGTGGAATCCTAGTACTAGAATACTTCTGCTTCCCTTTGACTTACCCTTTACCAAAAGTAGTTTCCATAGATGACATGCTTTTTCTCGTAGATATTAGCCACACCTTTAAAATATGTGCTTATCCACAACCTAAACAGTATGGAAATTATTTGACCTGTGAGTTACCTCAGCAGGTATCATGTTTCTACCCTCCCCTTCCTTCTTGCCTAAGAACTGTAAGTGCTGTGTATAATTTCCTCTAAGTCCCCCTTTAACAGAGTTAGGAAGTAACGAGATTACATTTTGAAATCCTGTGTTTCTCCAGAAGTAACTCGGTTTCAATATATAATCACTCAGACTTTTTTTTAAAGTATAAATATGGTGTTCTTTCCTGGAGTTCTTCCTTGAATTATTTTTTGAGTAGACTAGTAGAAGCCATTTATATAAATATATATTCTTTTGAATTAATTAATCAATTAGGTCACAGCTGGTCATTTTCCAAACTGAATATCACTATCTTAGACTAAACCCACAAATTCAAGTAGGCAAGCAAGTGGTGAGGGAGGGACCTCGTGGGGATCTTCATTCCTCTGGCATATCGCGTTTTTATCTACCTGGTGTCCAGACAGGTACAAAGAGCACTTGTTTACCAGAGCTTATGACACATTGTTTTTCATTGTTTTTCATACCTAAGCTAATTCTGTAGTTGCTAAAGTTCTCAACGTTTTAGGAAAGCGCAGCCTTAGATTTCAAGATTTCTTTCTGCAGCACTTTGGCCAAAAGGTACTCATCTTCACTAACTCATAGCTTAAGAATCAGTGTAACAAAATAGTAAGAAAAAGAGCGAAGAGGAACAACGAAGCCCAGGTTGACTCTGGTTTTTCTTCCTTACGTATCTGTCCCGGGGAGAATGCCCTCAGAGACCATGAAGGAACACAGTGCATGTGCACAGTTGGTGCTCACGGTGTAGGGCTCATGCATTTATGAAACGCCGTTCCTTACAGGCCTCTGACTATTCCTAATACAATGTGCACCTTCATCAGGCCGTCAGGCTAGTTTCAACCAGTTTGAATATAGTTGATGCAGTGAAATCAAGAAAGACCCAAAATTTTACAAAGTGGTATCTTGGAACAATAACCAGAACACGAAAAAGTATGGATCGAAGCCCTGAAATGAGAGACTCAAAAGAGGCGTAGTGAGCCCTTTCAGCAGCCTGATGTGAAATATTGACTTCTTGCCTGGACCATGGAGAATAAAACATTCATGGGGTGTAGCCATCTATGACCTGGGCACCATTGTTTCCAACTGTGCCATTCAAGACATTTGGTTGCCATATAACATGCCCTTCGCCTTTGTTTTCTAAGAGGAAGGTTAAATTTCTCGCTAGGTATCAACCCCTAATTTTTCTGGTCCAGTGATCATTGCCGCTTATCGACACATTTTGCCAATGCGGTCCGTTCCAGTGTCGCAACGTTGGCCATGACTAACTCAGGAAGAACCAGTGCAAAGTCCTATTAGTTGATGAATTCCTCTCTTATTAGCCCAGCCTGTATTTCTAGTTCACATCAGACTTCCCGAACAGAAGCAACTAAGTACTAAGAAGAAATCTTTTTCTCTTTTTTGTCTTTTTAGCTTAAAAAAGAAGTGCTTTCCATTTTTGAGACTACCAGCGATTTCACTTTCCATCATTGTTCACCTGAGAAAGCTTGAATTCCCCCTTGGCCCCCAATTCATTGTTTGCACGTTTTAAAAGTAATTGCCCTTTTTTTCTTGACTGTTATTCTGGATTTGCCATAATGATGAGTACATTTATGACATTGAAGACAAAAGGGAGTGTGCACGAGACAGTCCCGAAACCCACTACCATGAAAGAGACTGACCCATCGTGGCTCCGTAGAGTACCCTTGGGTTTCTGAGGCTGGACATTGACAGAAGCCCAGACAACTTTTTTTACTCCCAAAGAGCTGCTGGAACCTTTGAATGTTGACCTTGTGGCTCCGAGAGGGACGATAATCCTTCAAGATTACTGAAATTCCATAGAACAGGTTTTTTTTAACCAAGCATATTAAAGAACAGTTAGAGAAAAGTGGACATAAATAAAAACCTTAGGGATGTTTAGCTCAGTGTGTTAATGAAGGGACAGACTGCCGGCAGAGTGGGTGGACACAGCGGCCGCATTGATGGGCTCAAACAAGAGCAATTGGGAGGCTGGCACAGGACCTGACAGAGTTTTGCTTTGTTGGGCTTAGAGTCTCTCCAATTCCACAGCACCTGATCACCACCGCCACCTACGTCTACGTAGTGTCAGTCTTTTAACTTCTCTACCTCTGGGGTAGACCCGAAGAACTTAAGTAGCCTGTGAAAACACTGTACTCTGATTACACATGTTTGACTGGCTTGTTACTTAGTTTAGATGTTAATGGCAGAAAAACACCATTTGTAATCCTTTTTGCTCACTAGTCTGTTGAGAACCAGAGTAGTTGATTTCTGACAGGTTAGTGCAAACTGTATCAAGCAGTTTTGAGTTACTCAACCACTGCTGAACTACTTCTTAACATGTTTTCTTAGATTATGAAATGTTATGTCTAAAGCGGGCAATAATAAGAAAGAGTTTTGAAACAGAGAAGGGAAATGGATTCTTCTTACAACTTTGCCTAGATGATGAAAATTTATGTGTAAAGCAGACAGTCATAAGAGAGTCTTGAAATAGAGAAGGAAATAGATTCTTCATAAAGACCAGGTTTTAGGAAGGACACGGGTTGACTTTTACTTACTAATTAAGGTGGCACCGGGGGAGATGTTAATAAAGGGACAGACGGCTGTAGTGGGCCTTGGAAAGGGCAAAACTTGTTCGTATTAGTTTGTGGGTCCAAGAAAAAACCAGCCAGGCAGTGGAGTTGGTGCCCTTAGTGACCATTGTGGCTAACAGGTGTGAATAAGAGTGGGGTTTTCAGTGGAGAGATGGGTAACTGAGCTGTGGTGGGAAAACTGATGGCATAGTATATCCTTAAGATTATTCCTCCTAGTGGACAATGTCTACAAAGCCCAGACAGAGATTCGGTTTTTCTTTTTGTTAGACTCTTTTATACTTTATATAAGGTAATATTCAGTAGTTTAAATGTATAAGAAAGAGTTTTGCAGTCTTCACCAGAATCAATTTTGGAGAATTGTTTTTTTCCATTCTTGTCTCCATTGTTATTAGCTCCCCACTTCTCCCCAAGCTCCCCTACTGTAACCCTAAGGATCTGTTCATCTAATTACTGTCTCTATAGATTTACCTATCCTGGATTTCATATAATGAAAATTATTCCCCCAAAACCTCACGAGTAACAACAAAATAAAACATATGAACACTTCAATCTCAAAGTAAAAGGAGAATAATAAAAACTAGAGCAAGTTAAAAATGAGTCAAAAGGGAAAACAAATGGTAAGATCTTAAATGTTAAGCTAACTATAGCTGCCTGACCCAAGCCGTGATATTTTCAAGCCCATGCGTGTGAGAGGTGGACATTGAAAAAGGAAGACCAAAGAAGAATCAATGTGTTTGAATTACAGTATTAAGAAAGAATATTGCAGTACCATGGACTGCCAAAGAACAAACAAATCTGTCTTGGTAGAATTACAGCCAAGGATGGTGAGACCATGTCTCGTGTACTTTGGACACGTTTTCAGAGGAGTCCAGTCCCTAGAGAAGGCCATCATGCTTGGTAAAGTGGCAGTGAGAAGGATGGTCTCCAACAAGATGGACAGACACAGTGGCAGCAACAATGGGACCAAATAGGACAATTGTGAAAATGGCACAGGACCTGGTGGTGTTTCGTTCTCTTGTAAATAAAGTAGCTATGGGTCAGGACCAACTCGATACTTGATGACACCTAACAGCAGCAACATAATGCAGTAATCCCTGTCTTAGTGCACTCTTTCTGAGTCAAGAACTATTCACTTATCTCGTCAAAGATGTGGAAGAGTTCTGCAAATGGATTTTGGGCTTCCAGAATCTAAATCAGTCATAGCCCTTTGCAAACTGGGTGTTAGAATTTTAAGTTCTCATACAATTTCCTCCTCTGGTCTTGGATTTTATTTTTCACAATCCCTAAATCATGTGGGCTAGTGTGCTTCTTCCATGTGGACTTAGCTGACACTGCACTTAGATGGCTGCCTCTTTCAACACAAAATTTTAAGACTCCAGATACTATTCTTTCTTATAGCCAGGCACGATCTGCTTTCTTTACCACACTTTGCTATAGCACCCATATCTTTAATTATCACTTCATGAAGGCAAATATTGAATAGGGCCGAATCATTCATAGGGGTTAATGATTAAGTGTGAGCTCAATATCTATCTATATAAATCCCTGGTCTACTTTACAGGCAGCTTTATCAGCTACTTGAGAAATAATATAAGTAACCTGCAGGGGACACTGGTTGCCAGTGAATTAGGCCTTTTGGTTTGATGCCCATAGAGATGTACAGCCTCAGAAAACCGGTGTAGAGTCACTTGACTGCATGGCAGTTTGTTTTGACCGCCCCCCAAGATCTCACTAAGAAATGCAACATGGCCAAGCTCAAAGGGTTTAAATAACCTGCTAGCTGCTAGATGAACCGAGTGTGGGACTGTACAACACTAAATGTTATATTCTGTATCATGTTTGAGCAATCAATTTGTAGACAATATTAACGCCAGATCTTCTTTTTCAGTACAATTTAAATCATGGACAACAAACAAAGTAAGTAATATAATAATGTTTATACATCTTTTGTTCACTTGTTTTTATGCTTTGCAATACAATGTCTACTTCACTGTTTTGACTAAGAAGATGTACATGAATATCTACTACCATTAAATTTTCCTTTTAGAAAAAGCTTAGAGATCTAGTTCTTTAATGCTTCCACCCCCCCCACCCCCCTCCCACCAACTATCATGATCCCAATTCTACTTTACAAATCCAGCTAGACCTGAGGATGTCCACTGGTACAGATAGGAACTGGAAACACAGGGAATCCAGGACAGATGATCCCCTCAGGACCAGTGGTGAGAGTGGCGATACCAGGAGGGTGGAGGGAAGGTAGGGTAGAAAGGGGAAACCAATCGCAAGGATATACATATAAACTCCTCCCTGGGGGACAGACAAGAGAGAAGTAGGTAAAGGGAGACATCGGCCAGTGTAAGACATGACAAAATAATAATAATTTATAAATTATCAAGGGTTCATGAGGGAGGGATGGAGGGTAGGGAGAGAGGGGAAAAAATGAGGAGCTGATACCAAGGGCTTAAGTAGAAAGAAAATGTTTTGAAAATGATGATGTACAGCAAATGTACAAATGTGCTTGACACAATGGATGTATGTGTGGATTGTGATAATAGTTGTACGGGCCCCCAAATAAAATGATTTAGAAAAGAAATAGCTTAGAGAAACCCACTAAGAAATGTTAGGCTTATTTGGGAATATATAATGTATACTCTGTAACATCAAGATTAGTTTTCTCTTTTCTGTATGTTATATACGTAAATATTTAAATTATATTTATTGGCAAATACAATATGTTGGTTGATAGTCAGAATTTACCTGTGAACTGAGGGCTTTTATGACATTGCTGTCAAAAAGAACATGACTAAAAGAACAATCCTTTACAATGGTCCTTAAAATTAATTAAAGGCCATGAAACCCTGTTTATAAACAGTCATATTAAAGAGCTATGAGCAAGTAATCCTCAAATGAAAACCCAGGGCTTGAAAGTCCCTTCAACTCATACTTACCTGATAGAACAAACTACGAGAACCTTTCCGGCAGCACATTCCCATATGCTCCTGTGGAGTGGCTAATGATTTCAAACCACTGACTTTCTGGTTAGCAGGCAGGCACCTAGCAACTGTGCTACCAGAACCAGGTACATCCTCAGATATCTCCTCTATAAGGTTTATACCACAAATATATGCATAAGCTTAAAAGAACTATCATATGTTTTCATTTTTTTCTTACAAAAAATATAACTAAAGTGGGTATTTAGCAGCATGTAAGAAAATACTTCTATTAAACAATAACTTATCTGATAGCCGGGCAGCAGCCACATTTTGCTATAGCACCCGTATCTGTGTGCTGGACCAAGATATATGAACTAAGTGTTCTTAAGTTGGCGCTAAGATTTAGTGTGAGCCCAAAAACCCATTCCTGGATCTATGCTTTTTAATTTTTTTAATATGCTGAAACGTGGGAGTTGATACATATGTTATATCATAGTTCACACACATCAAACAGAATTGTACAGTTGCTTCCATAATCATATTAGAGTGTATCTCAGAGTTGTTATGTCAGTGGGGGTCACCCTCTTGAAACTGTGTTCTATGCTTTTCCATTTTACGGTTGCTGAAACCCAGGATCGATGAACCTATAGGGACACAAGAAGAATAAGGGGCTTGAGGGGAGGAGGGGAGAAGAGGACTGTGGTGGGGGTGGGGTTAAAGGGAGCTGGTGTCACAGGGTCCATATAGAAAAAGATGGTTTGGAAACTGATTTTGGTAACAATTGTACAATTGTACTTGATGTGATTAAAATATGAATATGTATTAAATCCCAACTAATAAAAATATATAGTTCTGAAGAGAAAAACCTAACATGTAGAAGAAAATATCAAAAGCAAATTTTTTTTTAAGAGAAATCTTTAGTCTCTACTTTCTTTTGAGAGAACCAAACTATGTTTATCTCTCACTAAAATGTCAACCTCACTAGAGATATTAGGTGTTTTTCAGAACCAGTTGCCTCAACTTTTGCTCATGATGATTCATGATCTTCTCTTACTTCTATATTTCTTTAATTTTATTCCCAATACCAAATTAAAGCATTTAAAAACTATGTAAATTTAGATAGTTAAGCTGTTATCATCTGCTCCAAACTTTATGATACGTTAAGTCAATTTTAAAAATTTGTTTTCCCATAAACCTATTTTTTAAAGTTCATGAAAGAAAAAACATTCAGAAAATTCATGAGTGAAAGTTTGACCCCCTCTATTCTCTATTGATGTCAAGTGTCCATGTTTCAAAAACAAATTACTTTAAGTTTCTACGAGTGATCCGCGAAGGGGATGGGAGGCAGTGTTTGACGTGGAGGGCCGACTAGGCTACCAATTTGTGGAGGCAGATAAAAAACTTCACTCAGGTTGACTCAGTAGTAGATGCTCAATCAACCTTTGTCAGCTAGCTAGGCTAGCTAAATGATGATTGCGGAGATCCAGGAAATCGAACCATTTGTGTAGAAACAAAGATGGTTTAAACCATACCAATAAACACATAAATCAGCTGTAGGTTTTGAACACCGAAATAACTCTTACTGGTAATTCCATATGATTCAGCCTTATGAATTATTTTATAATATTTTAACAATATAAATATTTCGGTGTTTAAATCATTCTGATAACAGTGGCTATACCAAGCAACTAATCCACTGATTTCAAGTGGATTCCAATCCATAGTGATCCTATAGGACATAGCACAACTGCTTCTCAGTATTTCTGATGCAGTGAATATATGTGGGAGTAGACAACATCTTCCTTCCATGGAGAGGCCAATGGTTTGAATGGGTATCATTTTAGTATACTGAGATCTAACGAATTTCATTGATCTCTACCTCAAAGTCTGTATGTGGCGGCAAAACAATCTCCTTTCTGTGACTAGCACACTCAAAAGTGTAGAACTGAATGTTCATTCGAATTATTTGGAAAACTAGAAATCCACTCCCAATAACTCGGCTGTCTTATTTTACCTAAAAGAGAATTTGTTCAAAATAAGCGTATACTGCAAACTAACTCTGATAACAGGCATAACCTAAGTTAAAAATTCATGGAATGTGTTTCAGTACAGCCAAAGACCACGCAAATGTGAATTACCTGAGGACAATAGTCCTTTTCTTCCTAATCGTATTTTATGAAAGCAGCATGGATCGTCTCCTCTTGTCTTCCAGATGCACACATGACTGCTCCTCAGCCAGGACCACATTTACCAGCTGGGTACGCCCCTCAGTACCCACCAGCAGCATTCCAAGGTAAATAGTTTTGGGATTTTTTTAATTAAAGAAGAAAAAACAAATCGATCAATTATTGCTACTCTGTAAAGGATATGTGTGTCTCTGAGGGATTTCTTTTTGTAGTTCTTTTGGTTAAAATTCAGGTAAAGGATATGTGTGTCTCTGAGGGATTTCTTTTTGTCGGTTTTGTGGTTAAAATTCAGGTAAAGGATATGTGTGTCTCTGAGGGATTTCTTTTTGTAGTTCTTTTGGTTAAAATTCAGATAATGAAATTTTTGGGCAGCCTAGTTCTTGTTTGTTTCATTTAAATATCTATTATTGGGGAAATATATGTATATTTTTTTATAGAGGTTAGTGAAAGTGTAAAATAAAGCCAGTAAAAACAGTGGTGAGTGATCATTTGCAAATAAAATTTAATAGTGATTGTTTCCCCCCATCAGTAGATACAAAGTAAAAACCTTGATTGGTTCCCCATTTGTTTGGTGAAATTGTGTCCTTATAGCCGCATTTACGATAGCTCCCTGTGGGTGGTTTTGCACCACATCGTAGCTAGAGCTATATGGTCAGCAGAAGCAATGGGGAAGAAGGATCAAAGCTGAACGCTGTAATGGAAGTCATGGAACTGCAGCCACCCAGAGGAAAGTCCCGTGTTCATTTTCTACAAATAAGGAAGTCTTTACTTCTGTGGACATGCCGACGGCATGTCCTGCATTTCTAAGTCCTTTCACTTCACAGAAAGGGATTTTTTTTTTTTCACTTGAATCAATGCATATGGAGGTTTTTTTCTCCCTTCTTTAAACAAATGCAGTTGCCATGTGCAGGGTGCACCCAGATATACAAAGAGGTGGCCCACCCCCATTTTGAGTGACATCCTGGGGCTTTCATGTCAAAGAGAAGCCAGTTTGGGCAGAAGGATGCATCTTTGTTTTCAGCATGAACAAACTAATGTTTGTAAGCACGGATTTTTTTTTAATTGTAAAGACTAGAAAACTCGCAGTTGGGTTAGCATCTCATCTGTTTGCATTTAAAAGAATAAGCAGCAGAAAAGTGGCAAACATCAAATGGGGTTGTTCTCGGTCCTGACTGAACTTTAAGTTTCACTCAAGGAGCAGTTAAAAAGTCTAGTGCTGTGGTATCATCTCATAAAAACTAAATCGCCATCTCTGTTGTTAGAATGAAGGCCTTGGTGTAGCATATCAACTCCCTCTTGTAGCATGTCCAGAGGATGAAGACGGTGCCTTGCCATTCTTCCTGCTCGGAAGTATCCTGGCTGTATTTCTTCCAGAACAGATTTATTCCTCCCCCGGGCCGGGCATGGTGCAGAGTATATGCCGTATTCCTCACCGTAATCATAATTCAGATGAATCAATTCTTTGGTTTTCCTTGTTTATTGTCTAGTTCTCAGATGCATACGAGGTGATTGAAAATACCATGGCTTGGATCAGGCAAACCTTAGTCCTTAAATGGACATCTTGTCTTTTTAACACTCTAAAGATGTCACTCGTTACATATTTACCCATGCAATAAGTCATTTGATCTTTTGACTGCTGTGTCCACGGGTGTTTCTTGTGGATCCTTGTAAAATGAAAGCCTGGGCAATGTTAATCTTTTCTCGTACGATGGTACTTCCTACTGGTCCAAAAGCCACACCTGGCTCTCTGACATCAAGTTGATGCCCATAGAGCTGCCCCTGGGGGTTTCTGAGACTTAACTCTTCACAGAGCGTAGAAAGCCTCATCTGTCTCCTATGGAGCAGCTGTTGGTTTCAAACCACTGACCTTGCAGTTTGCAGCGCAGTATGCAACCACTGTGCCACCAGGGTGCCTCACTTATTAGTCCTGTTGTGAGGGTTTTTGTTTTCTTTGTATAAACCCTCCTGAAGGCTGTAATCTTTGATCTTCATCCGTAAGTCCTTTCAGCAAGTAAAATCATGTTATCTGAAGATTGTATCTTGTTAATAAGTCTTCCTCCATTCCTGATGCCACGCTCTTTTTCATATCTAGTGTGTTCGATTACTTGCTCAGCATGAGATAGAATAAATCTGGTGAAAAAACACAGCACTGACACCTTTCCTGAGTTTAAACCACATAGTATCTCCTTATTGTTTAAACAACCATCTAAAGGTCTATATACAACTCATCTGGTTTGGTCTATTCCTGAAATGGTCTCTAAACTCATGGGGGAAATATTCAAGTTTGGATTTTGGCTCTTTCGACTTCTTTTAATGATGTTTAGCTTCAACTTCAACATGAACCATTGGGCTCGGTCTGACTGATAGTGTCACTTTCCACAGATAGTCTGTTGGATTCCGTCCAGTGAGATCCACCTGTCCAATTCTCACTCACAGCGACCCTAAAGGACAGAGCAGAACTGGCTCCCGAGCATTTCCAAGGCTTTAAGTCTTTATTTCTTCTTCAGAGTAGATGGTGGATTTGAACTGCTGATTGTGTGTTTAGCAGATCCACGTGTAACCACTACAGCACCAGGGAGCCTGTTTTGAGCTCTGTGGCTTCTGTCATGGAGGCCGTCTTTTCCAGCTAGCACACCCTCTGAATTCTTTCCACCGTGTGTGTTCCAATATCCACCCATCATTTCCACCTGCTTCATCTTTGTCCTTAGGATTTGGTGCAGACATTGAATAATGATAACAATAATAAGCCATCTTCCTTGCTGGTTTAGGGACTTGCCCTATCATTAAGAGTGTTTTCTTCAAAATAGGCTGTAATGTACAACCCTAAATTCTTATAAGGGTGGTGTTTGGAGAATTATTAACCAATGTGTAATATTTAAGGATCCCTGGTTGCACAGTGGATTGAGTGTTGGGCTGCTAACCTCAAGGCTGGTAGTTCAAACCCACCAGTTGCTCTGCAGGATAAAGATGAAGCTCTTTTCTCCCATGAAGGTTTATAGTCTCAGGGAACCTAAGGAGAAGTTCTGTTCTGTTACATAAGCTTCCTATTAGTCGGAAGCAGCTCGCTGGCGCGGGCAGTTAGCTTCTATAATATTTGCTCATGGTACTTGGAGTATGATGCAATCCATCCATAGCTCATTAAAATTAGGGGATAAACAAATTAATTCATATTTAGAATTCAAATTTGTATCTGGGAGATCCTGTCAGGGTTTCCTAACTGTGGAATGACCACATTTACGCCAGACCCTTCTTTATTTTTAGGTGCCCAGTATGTGTAGTGTAGTGCTGACCTTTCCCATGGGATGTCGTAATTCGGATCATTTTTGACAGGTGCTTGGCTCACAGCCTATATGTGGGGCCTTTTACCCAATGCCATTTCTCTTATCAATGCGAGTTTTCTAGAACCTTCCAGTAGGGGGTTCTAAATCATTGTTCACTTTCTTTTAGTTTCTAAAGCATTAAAGCACATTTTCATTTGAACAGTATAAGGCAGTGTGTTCGGCTGGGTTGACTAGAAAAACAAATTCAGTGACACTCATATATGTGTAGGTAAGAGCTGTATATCAAGAAGTAATTGTGTATCAGCATAACCTCCCAGCCCAGTGTAACTCAGGTCCGTAAGTCCGATACTACTCCCTAAGTCCCTCTTCAGCCTCACGCAGCCGTAGGCAATGATGTAGAATGCAGGGAGATCACAGGCCGGTGGGCGCAAATTCTTGAGGATCTGATGGCAGTAAACACATCTCCAGGGCTCCGGCAGCCATCAGGATCAGCAAAGCGCAAGTCAAAGGGAGAAAGCAAGAGAGGAGGATCCCAGGACTGTCCTTATGAGAAGATCATGCCCACGAGGAGGCACCATCAAGCTATGGCCTGTTTTGACAGGCTGGACTGTCAAAGTGGACCCCTTCACTTTGATATATCTTCAAATTGACATGAAATTATTTGACTACCACAGACATGAGCTAAATCTATTCTTAGAGTGCTACTTTTAAAAATAGAAATAGATGTGAAACCACAGATCAAATCATCAAAAACTGTCTGACAGATTAAAAACATAAACATTAACTTCTGCATATAAATAGCTAGTGTAACCCTAGAAAAGTTTGTTACCTTTGTTTTACAAATGACTTTATTTATTGATATGTTAGGACCTCCTGGACATGCAGGCTACCCTGGCCCCCAGGCTGGCTACCCACCCCCACCAGCTGGCTTTTACGGTGCCACCAGCACTGGCTTTCCTGTCCACAATCAGCCGGTGTACAGTCAGCAAGGTGGCCCTGCTGGAATACCATGGATGCCAGCACCAGCAGCTCCACTGAACTGTCCACCTGGATTAGAATATTTGTGCCAGGTAATTTCAAGTACATACAATGTTCATTAAAAAATGATTGTACTTCCTGTTACAAATTAGCAAATGATTGCTTTACGAAAATGTAAAATACTAAGATAACATTTTTATTACAAGCACATAAACTCATCAAGGCCAATTTCACTTTTAAAGCAAAATACAAATGTCTTAGGAAACTTCCATGATCTTAGTATGATATAATCTTGACTGTAATAGCCAATGACCCCCAGCCCCACTGTTCTGCTCAGAAATGAAACAAAACTGCTGCCACAGAATCTGTCTCAGCTCCTGACAGCCGTCTACGGGGTTTCCTAGGTCATGAGTCTTTACGGGAGCTGACAGCCTTGCCTTTTCCTCAGAGAGGGTGCCGGTAGGGTTGACCCATGAAATCTGCTCACAGTTCAGTGCTGACTGACAGCGCCCCAGAGTTCCTCCTGAGCTCTGTGATTATGCTAAAGCTTGGGAAATCGTGCTTACTAAAGGTTTACTGTAGTAGCCAGTAATATGTTAAGCACACGTTTCTAAGCTTTGTTATAAACATATGCATGTATCAACTGAGTCCTGGTGGTGCTATGGTTTGGTGTTGGGCCGCTAACCTAGGGTCAGTCACTGGTTCATTACCCACCAGCTGCTCCTTGGGAGGAAAATGAGGCTGTCTGCTTTCTAAAAGCTTCAGAGTCTTAGAAAACCCACATAGTGTTGCTCTGAGTCATAATCTACTTAATGATGCTTACTTATTACTGTTTTAAAGAAAAGAAATTCAAGTACAGGGAAGTGACAATAACTTGTCCAGGTCAAACAGTGAAGGAAGGAAATGGAATGAGCTTCTATTGCAGAGACCTTGGTTTGGGACTCTGTGCTCTTTATTTCCTGGAATTTGAAAGAAGCATTCAATATAGCTTGAGCTTCAGAAAGTAGTAACAAAAGGCCTTTGCTTAAAATATAACTCATCTTTTTCTTAAAATGAATATAATTTTATTTTTATTATGCTGTTCTTACTCTTTAGAAGAACCAAATTTATAAATTCTCCCCATAAGAGGAAGAAAAATAATCCTGGATTTTGATGTTACAAGTCTGATAGTCTTTAGAAAATTAAGTCTTTTCTACCCATTCTATAAATAGACCCCTGTAACATAAAATCAGGGTTTTTTTGGTAAGTGAAATGCCTCCATTGCACTCTGCACATATTTAATTACCCACAGTGCAGTTGGAGAGCACATGTTCATATGACAGTACTTTCAGTAGTTCTTTGGTTATGCAGGAAATATTCTAAATTTGATTTTTTTTTTAAATCTGGGGAGGGTATCACTTACTACAAATGACATCAAGTACAGTTTAAAAGAATAATTTTTTAATTATAGAAAATAGCCCTTTAAATAGATTTAAAAGTGTCAATATTTCTTAAGTCCTTTATAGGAGGAACATTTTTTTTCTTTTTATTTTCTGACTTATATAGTGATTTTGGTATAACTTGTTTTTATTTTACGTAAGTGGGCCCACAATAGTAGTAGGTAAAAACATTCATTTCTTGAAAACTTTCAGTAGATTGTTTTCAATGAAAAATACTTTAACATGAGTTTCACACTATAAAATCACATAAACTATGCTTATATAATGATATTATAATTTGAATTAATTAGAAATACTTTAAAGGTAAGATATGAATATTGTATTTAATTTTTTTAAATTTCCTTTGACGTGTTTAGAGCTAATTTTTTTCAATAATAGATTGATCAGCTACTGATTCATCAGCAAGTTGAACTTCTGGAAGGTATGTATTCATTTTGTTGACCATATTTCTAAAAATATAAGAGATTATGATTAAAAGCCTGTCACCTTCAATAAAGCACTCTTTCCAATATGGGAAGAGTAAATCGCCTTATTTACAAATTTCTTTCTGTGCTATAATGAAATGATAAAGATTTCTGAAAACAGGTTGTTAAATAGCAAAAGATCATTATCACTGGGTATCTGTCCTTATAATAAAGATAACCAGATGCTCATATGCAAGTTCAACTTGAAGCCAAGGAAAAGTAAAACAAGTCCACAAGAGCCAAAATACAGTCCAAACTCCCTGTAATCCAATTAACTTTGATTCACAGTGATGCTGTGGGACGGTGTAGAACTGCCCCTGGAGGTTTCTGAGGCTGGAACTCGTTACAGGACTTGAAGGCCTCCTTATTCCTGTGAAGTTGCAAGTAGTTTCAGACGGCCAGCTCATGCCAATGTGCCGCCAGGGCTCCTCGCTTCAGTACAACGCACCTGAGTTTAGAGGCCACTCCAAGAAGAGAGTTGACATATTGAGCAGTAATGCCGGAAGAGCTGAGCGTTGTCTGATGACACCAAGAACATTATACATGAGGAAAATGTAAGGTCATGGGACAGACAGGGAAGAAGCAAAGCGTCAGCATGGATGGGAGAAGAGACTGAAACGTGCTGTGGTATCTACGGCTAAAGAAATGGGAGAACCGTGGGAGTGAAAAAGCTGAACAGAAAACTTCAAAGGGCAGTTCTACGACAAAAAGTACAGTATTGTAATGAAATTTGCAAAGACCTAGAGTTAGAAAACCAAAATGGAAGAAAACGAAGAAAAAACTCAAGCCTCTGTACAATACTGAAGGATTCTTTGGGCAAAATAATGAATACCGAAAGCATCAAAAGAAGATAGAAGGCGTACGCTCTCACTGTACCCACAAGAACTGGTCTACATTCAGCCACTTCAAGAGGTAGCATGTGTGTGCGAACTAGTGGTGTTGAGGGAAGAAAACCAAGCAGCACTGAAGACCCCGATGAAAAGAAAAGTAAGGGTCCAGGAGCTGATTGTCAGTGAAATGACTTAAACAAGCTGAGGAAGCACTAGAGCTGCCCACTTGTCTATGGCAAGAAATTTTAGACAGCCACCTGGCTAACAAACTGGAAGAGATCCATATTTGTGTCCGCTCCAAAGAAAGGTGACCCAACAGAATTTAGAAAATATGTAATAATGTCATTAATATCACTTACAAGTAAAATTTGCTGACTGTAATTTAAAAATTCCCCACTTGTCTGCTTTGTCAAACTGTGATAGCTTGTATGTTTCTGTGATGCTGGAAGCTATGTCACTGGTATTTCAAATGTCAGCAGGGTCAGCCAACGTGAACAGGTTTCCGCAGAGCTTCCAGACCAAGGAGAAAATGGAGGACTCAGATCCCAACATTGGAGGAAGGAGCCGATGAAAACTTTATAGCTTCCAAACATTGACAGATACTGAAGGCCTAATGAATGGAATCAGAACATTTGGAAGAGAGCTATTTGGCTAACTGACTAGAAGAGATCCATATTTGTACCCCTTCCAAAGAAAGGGGACCCAACAGAATGCTCAAACTGTAAAACAATACCACGGATATCACATGCAAGTAAAACTTGGCTGAAGATCCCCCAGCGATAGTTGAAGCTGTACATGGACATTGACTGCCAGAGGTTCAGGCTGGATTCAGAAGAGGATGTGAAACAAAGAATATCACTGTTGATGTCAGGTGGTTCTTGGCTGAAAGCAGAGAATCCCAGAAATGTTTATTTGTGTTGCATTGACTATGCCAAGGCATCCAACTGTGTTGCTCATAGCAAACTATGAATAACCTAGAGAAGAAAAGAATTTCAGAACACTTCATTGTGTTCACGTGAAGCTGGTACATAGATCAAGAGGCAGGCAGTTGTGTGAATGGAGGTAGGAAATGTGAAATGGTTTAAAATCAGGAAAGGTATGCGTCAGGGTTGTATCCTTTCACCATATTTATTTAATCTGTGTGCTGAGCAAATCATCAGAAAAGCTAGATTATATGAAGAAGAATGTGGCATCAGAATTGGAGGAAAGGCTTATTATTAACATAAGCCTTGCTGAAACTGAGGAGAGCTTGAAGCACTTGCTGAGGAAGATCAAGGATTGCAAGCCTTCAGTATGGATTACAACTCAATGTAAAAAAGACCAAAATCCTCACAACTGTACCAATAGGTAACATCATGATAAATGGAGAAAAGATTGAAGTTGTCAAGGGTTTTTATATTGCATGGATCCACAAGCAATGCTCATGGAAGCAGCAGTCAGACATCAAAAGTGAAATTGTATTAGGTCAATCTGCTGCACAAGACTTCTTTAGATTGTTGAAAAACAAGGATGTTACTTTGAGGACTAAGGTGCACCTGACCCAAACCATGGCATTTTCAATTGTCTTGTATGCATGTGAAAGTTGGTCGTTGAATAAGAAGAATCCATGCATTTGAAGTATGGTGCCGGAAAAGAATATAAAAGTACTATGGACTGCTGGAAAGGCAAATATGTATTAGATGTATGGCCAGAGTACTTAAAGGTTTAGATGGTGGGTTAGTCAGGGTCAACCAGAAGGGAAAAAAATCCAGAGACACTCGTGTGTAAGAGAGAGTTTTATATCCAAGAGTAATTGCATATTAAGAAAACAGCTCAGCCCAGTCCAGATCAAGTTCATAAGTCCAATACAGTATTAGCCCATTAAGTCTGATATTAGCCCGTATGTCCGATACTAGTCCATAAATTCTACAAACTCACGCAGCACATGCAATAATGCAGAAAGTAGTAAGATCACAGGCCAGTGAGTGAGAAGTCTTTTGGAAGCATCTCCATGCTAGTGTGGCTTTCCATGTGGCTCCTCCAGCTCCAGGCCTCAGACTGCCATCAGCATAGGTTCGTGTGGCTTGTCAACAGGAAGGTGAAGCAGAGAGAGAATTTGTCCTGCCTCCAGGGAGAAAGAAGTAGTTCCCAAAATCCTCATGAGAAGGCCATGCCCAAAAGGAGGACTCAATCAGGCTATGACCTGATTGACAGGCTACACTCCACCCCTTCATTCTTTTATTAAGTTGGCATAAAATTGTGTAACTACCACAGATGGCAAGACTTCATCTTACATACTTTGGACATGTGGTCAGAAGAAAGCAATTCCTGGAGAAGGATATGGCTAGTAAAGTAGGGGTGGTTAAAAAGAGGAAGGCCTTCACAGATGAGTGACACTGTGGCTTCAACAGTGGACTCAGCACAGGACCATTCAGTGTTTCACTCTTGTACATAGGCACCTTACAACAATAACTCATTAGTGGTTATAGGAGCACATCAACAGGGAGCTGCTAGTGATTCTGGCCAGAGACAGAGTAGGAATTTGACTGGTCACAGAAAATACCAGACAGGTGTTTATTTGTGTTTTATTGACTGCTAAGACATTCAACTGTTTGAATCATAAGAAAACTATGGATGACAGTGAAAAGAATGGGAATTTCTGAAGAATTCATTGTGCTCATTTGGACAGTACCTGGAGATAGAACACAAGACAGTTGGTCAAACAACAAGAGAATGCTGTGTAATTAAAAATTATTAAAAGTGTGCACGAGGTTGTATTCTTTCACCATAATTATCCAATCTGTATGCTGAGCAAATAATCTGAGAACCTAGACTCTTGATAAAGAATGTGGCAACCGGACTGGAGGAAGATTTATCAACTATTTTTGAAATGCAGGTGATACAACCTTGCTTGCTGAAAGCAAGAAGGACTTGAAGCATTTGCAGGTGAAAATCAAATGAAAGGCTATATTGATTGAAATTCAATGTAAAGAAACCAAAAATCATAATTGGATCAGTAGACAAGATCATGATAAATGGAGAAAAAGATTGAAGTCAATAAGTATCATTTTGCTTGGATCCACAATCAATGTTCATTGAAGTAGCAGTCAAAAATCAAGTAATGTATTGCACTGGGTAAATGTGCTACACAAGACCTATTCAAAGTATTGAAGATCAAGGATGTCATTTTGAAGACTGAGGTGTGCTTGATCTAATCCATGTTATTTCCAATCACCTCATGTGGAAGTTGCACATTGAATAAGCAGGTCTACAGAAGAATAGAGATATTGAATGTACTGCAAGAACACCACAGTCTGTCTTGGAAGAAGTACAGTCAGAATACTCTCTTCAAGGTAGGGTGGCAAGACTCCTTCTCTCATGCTTTGGATATGCCTTTGGGAGAGTCCAATCCCTGGGAGAAAAAAAAAAGACATATTGCTTTGCCAAAAAAAAAAAAAAAAGGAAGTTGCTTAATGCGATGAATGGACTGACACAATGGCTGCAACAGGGGCTCAAGCAATAACAGTCCTGTGGGAATAGCACATTCATTCATGTGTAGAGTCACTATCACAACAACAGTGTCTTACACTGCCTTCTCTATGGGAGCACACAGATGAAGCATATATGGAAAATAGAGCTTTATTTCAAGAAAATGCCTTCACAGTTTTGGCAAGTTCCAAATCCCGAAGTCAGCGCAGACTGGAGGTGTCTCTGAAGTCTTGTGGTAGCAAGGGCTGAGGAAGCAAAAGTCTGCAGGTCACGTGACAGGCTGCTTATCTGTTCATGTGCCAAAACTGCGTTCGTATCCAAGAACTGGATGTGAGGATACTGAAGCAAATGGAGCATGGAATGCAAGATCAAGAGAGAACATTTTTCCTGAATGGGTCATACCTCTGAGGAAACTCCCCTCAAGGCAGATTGTGTAACATCTGCAAAGCCACTGGGCATTTATGGTTTTTCCGCAACAGGAACAAATCTGTGAAGGGAGCTCGACATTCTTGAAAACTGCTGTGATTGGGACCTGACCATGGGATTTGAATTAAGACACACAGCTGCAGTGGGGCTAATTGGACCCCTCAGTGGTAGTGGCCAAGTGCCCCAAAGGCATGTTGGGTGTGGCTATTGTAGTGCACAGCAGAGACTTAATCGTGAGCATAATAGTCAGGCCCCTGTGGATTTATAGTGCTGGCTGTGGAGACGTGGCATTCCTGGGAGTGTGACAGATGGGACACCTATTAACTACTTCCTTAATCTATCCATATGGAAGAATTCTAAGTCAACAAATGTCAATTTAAACTAAATTTCCAGAATAGAGAATCCAGTCGTCAGTCAGTTCCCATACCTGAGCCAGTTTACAGGCCCGCAACCCATTTAATGAAAGGCCCCTTGAGGAAGGATCTCACCACACTACTAAAAATTGGCACTGTTGGTCTTTCTCTCAGCCTGCCCCAAAGATATTCTTTAAAACATGGCTGTTCATGTGGAGAAAAGGAAATAATCTGATGTTTCAGTTATTCTTGGTCACTGATACTCAGTGGGCACTAATTCCAGGAGACCCAAAATGATTTAAAGGCACTCACCAGTCAGGACCGTGGGGTGGGCCCTTAGGGAGGGGTTGCAGGCAGATGGAGGTCAAGTTATTAATAGTCATAGTTTAGTTCCTTCTCGGCAGTGGGTCTAGTGGGACCACAAACCCCACTGGGTAGTTCTGTACCCAGTGCCAGAGTGCAAAATTGGAATAGGCATACTCACTAACTAGCAGAACCCTCACATTGGATCGCTGACATACGGAATAAAGTATGTTGTGGCAAGAAAAACCAAGTGGAAGCCATTACAACCGGTTTTATCTAGGAAAGTAGGAAAGCAAGAGCAATAGCATGTATCTGCCGGGACTGCAGAGCTTGGTGCCATCATAAAGGACTTGGAAGACTCCAGGGGGCGTGAGTCCCACCTCGTCTCCTATTTGCCTTGTGCAAAAATGATGAATATTACAGAGTGGCAGTAGGTCATTGTAAACTTAACCAGTTGGTGGCTCCATTTGCAGCTGCTGTCCCAGATGTTTCATTGCCTGAGCTGGTTTTGTGTCTCCAGTGAACGCAACCTAGTCACCACGCCCACCCGCAGCACTGCATCAGTCCTCAGCAGCAAAGTGTCCCCATCTGACATGACTTCATGGAATTAAGTTGGGGGTTTTGGCCTCGCTTGGAAGCTTGTAATTTCCCTAGTTTAATACCAGTTCTTTTCTTTTGCCTTGTTTCTTTCTGTGGACATTACCTTTCCTCTCTACTTGTGCTCTGCTCACTATCATCGAAAAGTTGTGCATTGGCAGAGAGCCCTAGCTCCTGGGCCTGCCACATTGGTTCTCTCCTTCCACACCAGTGGCCATAGCCGAAAACATGCTGCGCCTGATCCTCGGTCAGGCCAAGAAGCACCGTGTGTGATACCGCTCTCTGTGCTCCGTGGAGCTGGAGGTACCGGAGCAGCACCCCGTGCCACGCATCTGGCGTTATTTAATCCAGATGTCAGTTGGATCAGAAAGAACTACCCAGAACCATGGAATAAACCAGGTCCCCATGAACAGTATAAGTTCTTCGCAATGAATATGGGTTGCAGCAAACTGAAGAGAGAAGGCCCTGACTTCTGAATGAAGCGTTTTTCCATAAAGCTGCTCAGATTGAAGGTCTTCCAGTAGTGATCTGCACAATTTCCCACTGAATAAGGGTTTCCTTCTTCCCTACATGCACAAGATCATGTTGCTGTGTCATGTTGGGGTTTACACTAAATAATAAATATCTGAAACCTGAAAGTTAAAAATTGTACATCTTGGTATTATAGTATCTTAGGACAGTTCCGTATTTTTTAAATAATACTGATTATAGTTTTTTTTTTTTTTTTAGTCCTAACAGGTTTTGAAACCAATAACAAATATGAAATTAAGAACAGCCTTGGTCAGAGGGTTTACTTTGCAGTAGAGGATACTGATTGCTGTACCCGAAATTGCTGTGGACCTGGTAGACCTTTTACCATGAAAATTCTTGATAACATGGGCCGAGAAGTCATGATGCTGGAGAGACCACTAAGATGTAGCTCCTGTTGTTGCCCTTGCTGTCTTCAGGAGGTTGGTGAGGGTTATCACACAGCCTGTTAAGCAGATCTCTGAGTCTATACCCTTTTTGAACTTTTATAATCAAGTGAAATTTAAAGAGAAAATGATCCATGAGCCCTTGGTTTAGACTTTAGAATGAATTTTAGGGGAAAGAAAGCAGGTGAATGTAAACAGTAAGCTATTTCCCTTGACCCCCACGCTGTGTTTATTACAGGGTTGAACTTCCATTCAGGGATCAGTCTTCTGGATACCCAGGGAAAGCTAAGAGAGCAGAGGGTCTTAGTCAGTCTCCTCACCAGAAAGACCCGTTAGAGGCCTGGTCAAATCCAAGGGGTGCAATCACTGATTGAGTATAGCAAGTTCGTCCTGTCATTTTGTTTCCCTGGCCAACCTACTAAAGAATGACCCTGGAAAGACCCTTCTGAAAACTGTCAACTCCTGTGTTTTTCATTTCCCCATTAAAAAAAAAGAAGAAGAAAGAAATGTATATATGTGAACCCTCTTTTGTAATAGTAAAACTCCTAGGTGGGATACCTTCACCTTCTTAAGGATTAGCTACCTTTCTGGTACATCCTGTTTGACAGCCCATGCATCGAAACGTAGAAGAGAAGCCAGTGAGTGCACTGTGAGGAAAGTTGAGCCTTTGCCTCTCCCACCTGATGGACTTCAGACCAGCCCCACTTGGTCACACGATGAGAACATGCAACCAGAATACAAATACATGGATTACTTGATGTCTATGACTGCTCATTTGGGGGCATAGCTGAAGTCATTCATCATAGATCCCTTTGTTTTTCCATTCCTTTTAGGTTAGGTAGAGTAATGACACTATAGGAATATCCGGGGAAACACTCAGGATTTTGATGGGGACACGTTTTCTACGTACATGACCCCCTACCATGTAAAGAGCACATTAACACACATTCTTCAATTGGCTCATTGAAAGGGCCCTATGCAATCTTTCCATACAGATGGGGAAACTGAGGTACTTCCAAGGTCATGCAGACCCAGTAAAATCATGTTTTTCAGTATATGCATTAATGTGCATGTGGTTCTTAGAATAGTATCTTTGGCTTAAGAAAATATTCAGTAAATAGGAGTTACTACTAGATTTGTTAGTATGACTGTTGTGGATGACTATTCCAAGGGCTTTCCCCGCTTTTGCAGATAGAAATCCAAGCACCTCCCGGCGTTCCGGTAGGTTATGTTATTCAGACCTGGCACCCCTGCCTGCCAAAATTCACCATTCAAAATGAGAAGCGAGAAGAGGTACTGAAAATCGCTGGCCCATGTGTCGTATGCAGCTGCTGTGGAGATGTTGACTTTGAGGTAGCAGATGTGATCATGTCATGTTATCTGTTAATGTGATAAAATGTGCTTTCCAGTTGTAAAAAGTGTATCATTCCATAGGATGTGACAGAGACAGGAGGTAATATCCATGTACTCAGACTTCAAAAGGAGATAATATGCTTTTTTACTTAACTTTGGTCAGAGGCTGTTATTGCCTTAATAAATGCCACTGGAGATTTTGTTAAATGGGGAAAAAAAGAGAGAGAGAGAAACTGGACATGCAGTCAAATAAGCATAAGCAAAACAACTAACCGTTGGGTGGTTCAAACACCCCAGCTGCTCCCTGGGAGGAGATGTGCCAGTTAGCTTCCCAAAAAAGTATACTCTTGGAAATGTTGTGGGGGACCGACTGCTCATCAGTGGGTTTGTTGAATTTGAATTCTTCTGTGGAGTCACTGAATGGGTTCTTATCCCAGATCACCAACTTGTAATCAGCCGCTGCCCTACAGGCCTTTGCCCTACAGGCTTCCTGAAATGCTTTGATGGCAGTTGTTAGCAGCTAAGACACCACCATATGCAAGAGGGATTGAATTAGTCTGGTTTGCACAATAACTGTTCCTAAGAAACCACCAGGCAGACTCTGTGGCTTGAGCCAAAAGCATACTCATGGTTACAGATTATTGGTTCATCAGCTCAGCTCGGTGGCTTTGATGTAGCCACAGGGTGGGTTCAAGTCTGCTTCTGGGCCTCTCACCGCGAAGCAGCCTCGATCATGGTTTTCTGATGGTTATCAAACGAGGTGGCCGGCCACATTTAAGATCTCGGTTCTTGTCACACCTTAATAGCAAGTCACAGAGCCAAGTAGATTATCAAGAGTCAAGGGGATATTTGACGATCAGTAACCCATGCTAGAATACAGTTTCACATCTACTGATTTCTGCCGCCCCTCTGCCTGCACCCAAATACAAGGAGTTGGCTGCTTCTGGTTTCCCTCTGTTTCTGTAGCTTATCCCAACAGAAAGCAGGGTGTCACTTCCATCCGGCGCTTTGTGCACATTCAGAAGGGACACCTTTCCCCTGGGTTGACACAGCACCACTTGTACGTAGCTTGGTGAGTGTTTCTGCAAGCTTCCACCTTTGCCCCCATGACTGGGTACATTAGTCCTGCGCACCGTCAGTTATCATGACCCTGGCCTTTCCTGGGCAAAACTAGAAACCAAAGTTTTCTTTGAGCTCTTTAATATTCCATTTCCTTTCTTTTTATTTTAGGGTTGTCACCTTCCCTCTAAACTGCCAGCCACCTTGTGGAGGCTCTCCCTCCCCACCCTCCGCTGAGTGAAATATTTCACTCTTCCCTTACTGAATGAAAAAGACAATTGTTATCCAGTGACCTCTGACTCAGTGTCTTGCCCGATCCTGTTTAAACACTGTGTGCTTCCTTCAAGTCACACGGAGTCACACACTGTCTCGAAAGTTCACCAAAGACGCATTTTATATTTCCATCCTTTTCTACTATCGGTCTGAATGATTTACCACTGCCTTAATATAAATAATATATTAAGTACTTTAGAAAAATTACTTGCACATAAATTCCCCATAGCAATCAAGGCGTTTTCACATATAGCTATAAATATCACAGAAACCTATGTATATCTCAGAGGAGCCCAGCTGGTGTAGTGGTTATACATGCTGGGCTGGAACCCACAAGGTCCAAAGTTCGAAACCACCAACTTCTCCGCAGAAGAAAGGCGGGATTTTCTATCCCCATCAACAGTTCCTGTCTCACAGGAACTCACACTGGCAGTTGTGTCCTGTCTCAGAGGGCCGCTGTGAGTCTGCACTGGCTCAGTGGCAGTGAAAACTGAATGCATATATCATGTGAGGAAGAATGCGTGCCAGTTCCATGTGGCACGAACTATTGGTATGGTGTTTGTTTCACTTGCCTACCAGCTTGGAACTAGCTTGTGAGTTGTTTTCTAGAATTATTAAGGCTGTGTTTCATGTCACCTAACTTAGATTAAATCCCTTGATGAAGAGAGTGTGGTCGGCAAACTGTCCAAACACTGGACCGGGTTTGTGAAAGAGGCGTTTACAGATGCAGACAACTTTGGGATCCAGTTCCCGTTGGACCTGGATGTGAAAATGAAAGCTGTGATGTTGGGCGCATGTTTCCTCATTGTAAGTCCATTCTTCCTCATCTTGGTAGCAGCTGTTTTTTTAGTAGGCTAAAAGGATTCTGAAAATTGTAGATTTTTTTAAGTGACCTTCTCAAAGAGATCCCCTTTAATTTTTACTTCAAAATTCTATTTGATGTTGATACCCTAGATGTACAAGTAACTAGCTTCTATCTGCAGAGTCTGCAATGCTCCTCTTGGCCAGAAAAGGACCTGGTGTATAAGATATTGGAGAGCCGGGCTCTTATCTTACCTTGCATATGGGTTTCGAGAGGTACGATCTGCCGGAGAAAACAAATACAAAAGGGATAGCCAAAGCTAGGGTGCGGGGGTCCCTGAAGTAATGACACTCCAGGGCTCTGGATTTTATTAGGGCCTTAAACACACTCCCTGCACACAGCCTGCAACACGTGTCAGGTTTACACACAATGAGACAGTTCATAATTTGAAGGCTTACAAAGAAGCGTAAACACATCAGCCAAGTGATTGATAGAGCGAGGGGAGCATGTAGTAGTTGATCAGTTTGCAGACTGCTGCCTTCCGCAGCTCTCGTCAGGGAACAGGAGGCAAGTGTCTTTATCTCAGGTGGAGAGACAGCCCAGCCATTGCTTCTCCGGCTCCCATGCCTGAGCCCTCAGCTGTCTCCCACTGCCCCTGAGCCGTGGAAAGTGATGGTCCTGTCCCATTTGCCTAAGGAGTAAACAGCTGTTTCCCCACAC